TCAATTAAAAATACATTTAGCATTTTCTTTCTATAGTTGCTAGTTTCATTTTTCTTTTTTTTTTTTTTTTTGCAGTTTTTGGCCAGGGCTGGCTTTGAACCCGCCACCTCCCGTATATGGGGCCAGCACCTTACTCCTTTGCGCCACAGGCGCCACCTGCAGACTTCATTTTTCAAAATGAAATTCATTTTGTTCTTTATGTCAGCGATGTGAAAAGAAAGTGTAATCATGTTTGAATATTCTGATTTAGAGGAAACGAAAGATGCCGTGGCATCATAGCTCACAACATCAAACTCTTGGGTTCAAGTGGTCCTATTGCTGAAGCCTCCCAAGTAGCTGGACGACAGCACTTGTTACTTATAACACCCAGCTAGTTTTTCTATTTTTAGTAGAGACAGGGTCCTTGCTCTTACTCAGGCTGCTCTCAAACTCCTGAGCTCAAGTGACCCACTTTCCTCGGCCTCCCTGAGTGCTAGGATTACAGGTGTGAGCCACTGCTCCTGGCTCTTCCTCCTTTTATTTATTTATTTTTGCAATTTTTGGTGGGGGCCAGGTTTGAACCCGCCACCTCCAGTATAGGGGGCCAGTGCCCTACTCCTTTGAACCACAGGCACCGCCCTATTTATTTTTTAGAGACAAGGTCTCACTCTATCACAGGCTCCAGTGATGTGATATGATCATAGCTTACTGCAGCCCCAAACTCTTGGGGTCAAGTTATCCTCCCACCTCTGGAAGAGCTGGGACTGCAGACCTATGCCACCACGCCTGGCTATCTTTTCTTTCTTTAATGAAGTATAGTAGAACCTCCATAAGTTGACCACCCAAGGGGACTGTAATGAACTGGTCAAGACACAGAGGTTGTCAACATAAGGAACTAGGCCCACTGAACTGATACGTACACATGGTGCATGTCTGGTCTATGAAAATTAGGTCAACTTAAGGAAGTGGTCAATGTAGGGAGGTGGTCAACTATGGAAGTTCTACTATATTTAATAAAGAAAATAAAAAAACTGTGGTCTCAGCTCGGCGCCCGTAGCACAGTGGTAAGAGCGCCAGCCACATACACCAAGGGTGGTGGGTTCGAACCCAGCCTGGGACAGCTAAAACAACGGCAACTGCAACAAAAAACAGCCAGGCGTTGTGGCGGGCACCTGTAGTCCCAGCTACTTGGGAGGCTGAGGCAAGAGAATCACTTAAGCCCAAGAGTTTGAGTTTGCTGTGAGCTGTGATGCCACATCACTCTACCAAGGGTGACATAGTAAGACTCTGTCTTAAAAAAAAAAAAGCTGGGTGGTGCTTGTGGCTCAAAGGAGCCCTAGCTACATATGCCAGAGGTGGTGAGTTCAAACCCAGCCCTGGCCAAAAACTGCAAAAAAAAAAAAAAAAAAAAAAAAAAAAAAAGCTGTGGTCTTTAAGGGGTAAGGTACAGAATTTCCCATCCTTTAAAATACCACAGTAGACATATCAGAGAAAGCTATAGGGTCATGACAAGTGATGACTAATGTCAGACTGTGGGAAAATTGGAACTATTTTATCAGTGGCAAGTTTGTGTGGGTTGAGTTATGGTATAAAGTGGACAAGTCTGAGTGACAACACATCATGTGCTTCTGAATATTATGCTTTGCATTTCTTTTTGTAAAACAGAAACTATATAAAATGTGAAGTCTTAAGTAGGGTTTGGGTTTTTTTTTTCATCTTACAGAGGGAAAATTGTAATTACAAAATTTCCAAGCACAGAGGAACCAAATCCTCGTACTGAGAAATTTCCCAGCAAAGTATATACCCTTGTTCCTAAGATAGTTCTTTCTCAGTTTCCTTGTTCTATTTTATTTTTTTGAGACAGAGTCTTACTCTGTTGACCTTGGGTAGAGTGCCTTGGAGTTGTAGCTCACAACAACCTCAAACTCCTGGGCACAGGTGACCCTCTTGCATCAGCTTCCAGAGTACCTGGGACCACGGGCACCTTCTACCACACCTGGCTAGTTTTTCTATTTTTAGTCGAGATGGGGTCTCGAACTCCTGATCTTTAGCTGTCCATCCATCTTGGCATCCCGGAGTGCTAGGATTACAGGTGTGAGCCACTGAGCCTTGTTCTATTTATAAATCGAGGACACTCATGCTTTCTCTTTGAACATGTCATTGAAACTCTTAGGTTGGGTGAATGGTGAAGGTTACAGTGGAAGTCTTCGTAGTATTAAATGCAGAGTTTCTTAGTGCAGGAAACCTTTCCTTGTTCCTAACTTTGAAGATGGATCCCTAGATATTAAAATCAGAATGGTTTAGCAGAATAAACATTTTAGGCCTCAGATTTTCATATACTCAAAAGTGTCTATGTCAGGGGGTAGCAGGTTCAGAACCGCCAATTTAATGTATTGAGTTAATAAGAGATGTCATTTATCAATGTATAACATTGACTCTGTCATTATATTGACAGATTTTTATATGTTGGGTTAAATAAGGTACTTTTTTTTTTTTTTTTGCAGTTTTTGGCTGGGGCTGGGTTTGAACCCGCCACCTCCGGCATATGGCGCCCTAGTCCTTTGAGCCATAGGCGCCACCCAAATAAGGTACATTATTAAAATTAATTCCACTTGGTTATTTTTAGCTTTCCAACTTTTAAAAAATGTAGCACATTTATAATTACACATTATAAAATAGCCAGGCGTTGTGACAGGCGCCTGTAGTCCCAGCTACTCTGGAGGCTGAGGCAGAGAATCGCCTAAACCCAGGAGTTGGAGGTTGCTGTGAGCTGTGACGCTACGGCACTCTACTGAGGATGATAAAGTGAGACTCTGTCTCTCCAAAGAAAGAAAGAAAGAAAGAAAAATTCGGGTGGCACCCGTGGCTCAAGGAGTAGGGCGCCAGCCCCACATACCGAAAGTGGCGGGTTCAAACCTGTCCTTGGCCCAAAAAAAAAAAAAAAAAAAAAATTACACATTATATTTCTGTGGGATGGTGCTGCTTTAGAGAGCTCCAACTTCACAACTTAGATTAATCTCATCTCAGTAAGCTTTGCCTGACACCCCAAACCCTATTCCGTTCTGAATGTTTTCTTTTCTCTCCAGCGTGGCACATTCCTTGAGCTTCATCCAGCAAGGCTGTCGTGTTCTGAGAGCTGAGACCAAGTCTCTTTTCCTGGGGTTTTCCCTCCCACGACCCCTCGGTCCGGGTGTACCCAGAATGGACCTAGAGAGCAAATAAATGAAAGAACAATTTTGTTTTTACCTCTATGTAAAATGTCCCTGGAATAAGAGGCTTTTTAACTGTTAGAAACAGGAGGATGGTTATGAAATGATAGGGAATCTTCTGTTTCTTCCACTTTCATTCTGAGAAACTCCGAAGTGTTAAGCTTTGCAACATGGGGGGAGGTGCCGACTCTGAGGCTCGAAACTTTGCTGGGCTTAACCCTCAAGTTCTTAATTTTTTTTGTATACTTTTAGAGGCTCTCCATTCTCTTCTCACTTTCTCTTTTGCATTTTAAGTTCAATTTAAATGGCTGTCACTTCCTTTGTGTAGACAGTCCAGTCCACAGGACCAGCCTCTGACATTGTTAGGCTGTCCTGTGCGGGTTTGTCATTGGTCTCCAAAGTCCTATGCACTGTGATTTTTTTTTTTTTTAATTTGTAAACTCTTTGGGCCAGGAAGGAAGGGCTTAGCTTATACTCAGTTACCCTCAGTCTATTTTTTTTTTTTTTTTGAGACAGAGCCTCAAGCTGTCACCCTGGGTAGAATGATTGGCATCACAGCTCACAGCAACCTCCAACTCCTGGGCTCAAGTGAGTCTCCTGCCTCTGCCTCCCAAGTAGCTGGGACCACAGGAACCCGCCACAACGCCTGGCCGTTTTTTGGTTGCAGCTGTCTGTTCGGCAGGCCTGGCTGGATTCGAACCCGCCAGCTCAGGACATAGGATCCCAGCCACCCCCATTCTATTTTTTAAGTATAAAAGTTTGAATTTCTGTCCCTTGTTTTGTATATGAGCCCTGGGACTTTGAAATGTTAAATTTTCCTTAAAGCTATTACCTTGGAAATAGTACTTTAGGGGAGAAGCATTTTTATTCAATAGCAAGTATTTATAAAGGGCCCGTCTTAGACTCCTGTGCCAGCCATTTTGACCAAATGTAAACAGCTAGTTTAAGTGGAAACACCCAGAAACGTGCAGGATTGAGTGAAATGTAGCCACAGATTAAAAATTTTGCTGAACAAACTGAAAAAGTATTGCTAAGGAATTACTGTAGTTCTGTGCTGTAACTTAACTGCTCTCCTAATTGAAGGTTTGAGATCCTGAGAAGCTAATGTAATTGGTTGTTTGTAGAAATGTTGGTATTAACATTTTAACACTGACATTATTAGTGAGCTAATCTAGTGCTTTGTTTCCATTCTTTTTAAATTTCAGAGTAATAGAAGGGTATAAATATCCCATGATAGGTAAAATTCAGAGGTGCAGTTGTGCCCTTCACCTGGGGAGTGTGCCGTAACCCATGCATTGTACCCATTGGGTGGGAGCCAACAGACACCCCTTTTCCCCCTTCTTGAACCTAATTGAGATGTTCGTATGGTCTGTGATTGTTCATCTCCTAATTTCAGATGAGTGTTGAGTCCATGTGATGCTTATGTTTCTAATCTTAGCAACATTTTACTTAGGAAAATGTTCTTCAGATCCATCCAGGTTAATCTAGTCTTAACATTAAACAACCTATTTTCTGCTGCAGTTTCCTTAACAGTTTCCCCCTTTTTAGTGATTGCCTGTGCTTCACTAATTTCTATAACCAAGCTGGAGTGGAATCCAAAAGAAAAGGTAACATTTAAGTTGTTCTTTTAAGACTGTTGAACTTGGTTGTTTGAGACTGTGGCTGCACAAAGCCTAGGAAGGATCCTTGTTATTTCTTAGAACAAGTTGCAAAAATGTGGAGTAAATATGATATGACAATTTACTGTCCAATTATTTGGCAGTCTGTGTATAGTAATTAGCTAGCAGGGTAATCCCAAATGAGTTCTGGATTATTTTCAACAATTTGAATTCCTAATTTCTTTCTTTCTTCTTCTTCTTCTTCTTCTTTTTTTGTTTGAGACAAGAGTCTTATTCTGTTGCCCTGTGTAGAGTGCTGTGGCATCAGAATAGCTCATAGCAAGCTGGCTACTGGAGGTCAGTGGTTACCATGCTGGCACCACACTCCAGGGGTGGCAAATTTGAGCCTCACCTGGGCTTGATGGACAAACAGAAAAAAACAAAAAAGACTTCAAGTCTCACCTGGGTCTGGATCCTCGCATGGGTCTGGGTCCTCATCTGGGCCTGGGACCTGATTTAAAAAAAAATAGCTCACTGCAATCTCAAACTCCTGGGCTTGAACAATCATTTTTCTGCCTCAGCCTCCCAAATAGCTACAGGTGCACTCCACTGTACCTGGCTAATCTTTTATGTTTTTCTAGAGACAGGATCTCACTGTGTTACTCAAGCTGGTCTTGAACTTCTGGTCCTAGGGAATCCTTTCACCTCAGTCTCCCAAAGTGCTAGGATTAGGGGCTTGAGCCACTGTGCCTGGCCCCCCGATTTCTTTCTTAAACATCTCAGCTATCTATGCTTAGTGAAAGAGCTTTAACACTGGGATGGATTGAAGAGATGGCATAGCATTAAGAGGGCAGGAAGAAGGTAGTTGCAATCAAGATGAACCTAGTTGGAAGTGATGGGGGAGTGTATTTGAGGGGTGCTGGCAAGTGACTAACATGAGGATAAAGGGGCATGATAAATTAAGGAGACTTCTAAGTTTTGTTTTGTTTTGTTTTTTTTTTGATTAGCAGGCCTGGGCCAGGACTACCAAGTTTTTATCTTGGGTGAACCAAAGACTTTATTCCCTCGACCAGAGATAAGGTCTATAGCATAAATAACTGGATCGATTTGGTTTTATAATCGTTGACTCTAAGGCTATTATAAAATATTGAGGTGAAACGTCCAGTTAGAAACACAGGACTAGACCTCTGGTGGGATTGTGAGTCACCAGAGCATAGAGGGACTGATCATTTCTGGACTAAACATCGGAACACATGGAACCACATATTCAGAATTGAGATTGACTCATGCAGAGATACCTGGAGTGCTGGTTTGTCTAGATCCACAGGAACTGTATTAAAGAGCCACAGCATTAGGAAGGTTGAGAACCACTGGTCTAGATGCCAATATAGGGGAATCAGGAAGCCCCAGGAAGAGAAGAAAGTCAGAGAACAGCAGGAGGGTGTCTTTTTGTTCTCCCAAGGAGCAGGTGAAGGAATGTCTTTAAAGGAGAATTAAAGAGAGGGAGTCGTGGACCAAAGAGAAGCACCAGAATTGTGCTGTGTGTGGTCGACTTCATTGCGTTTGTGGGAGCTAGTGGAGGGAAGGGTGACCAGGGGATGGAGGGACCCCAAGGAATTTTATAGTTCAGAGGGACAAACATCCCATTGTCAACTGTTAAACGTAATACCTCGAAGAATAAATGAAATGCTGAGCTCAAGTCCAGACAACATACTGTGGAAATGCAGACCCCATAGCAATTGATTCTAACTATGGAGTGAGAGAGGGTGGTATCATGGAGAGTAAGAAAAGGGCATTTTTCAAGAGAAAGGGAGATGGTTAACCTCAGCAAATGTAGCTGAATGCTCTTTAAGAATGAAGTCCTTCAATTTCTCGACTTAAGCTATAAGGGAGTCACTCAACTTTTTCCAAAAGCAGTTTCAGTAAGGTTTTGGGGTTAGAAGCCAATTGTAAGAGGTTAAAGAAATGTTGAGAGGAATGGTTCGTTCATTCAGCTCCCTGCCCATGCTTGTTGAGTTCTATCCTGGACTGGAGGTGAGAGGAAGAGGAGAAGCCCAGTGGTGGCCATAGCAGACATAGGGTGAGAGGAAGACTTTCCCAGGACTGAGGATTCTGGCCAGCAGTGAAGCTCGCCCAGGCTGGTGAGGAAAACAACGATCTGGACGGGAGTTCAAAAAGAACTTACCTTATAACTTTAAAATGGCCAAATTAGTCAGTAGTTTAGACATAGACAAAAGGCATTTTCCCCCTTGAGGTGTGGGGAATTCTTCCCGGATGCAGGGGGTTCAGTTCCTCTTTCATTGGTGAGAATCCTGTCTGAAACCTCAGATTGTCCCGGTGTACTTCACAATTCAGCCACTGGAGGGAGCCCTTGCACAACAAATTAGCCACCGGAAAGGGCTCAGCAAAGCCCCTCCCCAGGCAGTTAAAAATCTGTTATATTCTACTTTCCTAAAAATGTGAAAAGTACCTGGTTTTTTATTGATTTTATAAATTACTCGTGTATCGCCTTTTGTTCCCACTATCAATAGATGCAAAACCCCTCAAAACCCTTTACATAGTTCACTGAAAAATCATTTAGGTACTACCCCAAAGCAGGGGTGTCCAACTTGTGGCCCATGGGCTGAATGCTGATTTTGTGGTTCAATGCGCTTTCATTAATATCATGCTAGAGAAATTTCCCCCCAAATTCTGCCTCTATTTCTAGTAGCCATTTTCACATTTCAGGGACCCTGTGGGTTGGGGCGGGTCCCCTGGTGCTGGCACCCAAAGGAGGGGGCCTCTGTTCTCTACCCCCTAATGTAGAGTGGCCTAGGATGAGGGGCTGCATGAGGGCATCCATGTGGAGAGCCAAGAGTGATGTCCTGGACAATTTGACACTTGTCCATTAAATCTTTGTGGAGGAAAGCATGATTAGAAGAACCTACCATCACCAGGAACTGACCTTTGATGTAACACATTTGTTTATTTACGCTCTCAGCTTATAGCAGAGCAGAAAGGGAAGTGGGGGGGGGGGAATTAAGCCATCATTTGAAACCAGAGGAGGCAAACTGACAGTCCCCAGGCTTCAGTGGGATGTGAGCTAATGCAGACCGTGTGTCTTTGACTTACATGCAGTTTTAAAAATGCTTTTAAATTAGTTGACAGCATTAAAACACCAGGAGATGGCTATCTTTCCTCTCTTTTTGCAACCATCAGTTTTGTTTATTTTTATTAATTTCCTGGCCTCAGGAAGCAGCTAGTTTGGAACCTCTGACTCAGGCCAGTCTCTCATTCTTGCCCCCAAGAAGCTGCAGTTAACATGTGGATGTCCATTATTAACATGTGCTTTGCAGATATGTTTCCTTTATATTGTTAAGTAGAACTGTTTTCTGAACTAACGATTTCTATCACAACAGGGAAACGCAAAGCCCAGTTTCATCTAGATGCATACACTTATTCTTTGGAATAGCTACAGCAGTGCTGACCTTCAGCTGGGAGGAGACCGAGTCATCCTTGTATAGGAAGTTCCCTCTTCCCTTGAGTCCAAATGTGCTTCCCAGGGTTGGCTATGTTGTAGTCTTCATTCTGTCTTTGGAAGTTACATAGAAGCAGTGTTAAAACCAGAGCGTGTGACAGCCAGAAAGAACGTCTGGGATAACTGCAGTCCTGTCCTCACTAGGCAGGCACGCTGGCCTTACTTACAGGGTGTTGCCTTCTGTATTTCTCTGCAAGGTTCTGATGTGTGCTCTCTGGACAGCTTTTTCATCTAGTCTAACCTTCTCATATTATCAGTATGTATCCTGAAATCAGGAAATTCTGTTTCTTCCTCATTGCTCCTAGGATTATATATATCACGTAGTGAGTGCGATCTGTGAATGGACAGTGGCCTTTGGTTTTATTTTCTACTTCCTAACATTCATCCACGACTTCCAGGTAAGTATTTATCAATTCAAATGTTATGAATTGCTGATGATTAGGATTGGAGAAAATTCACAGAAAATGTCTTCCATTTTATATTTTATTTTAGTTTTTGAGACAGGATTGCACTCCTATTGCCCAGGTTGGTCTTGAACTCTTAGGCTCAAGTGATCTTCCTGCCTCAGCCTCCCAAGGTAGCTAATATTATAGGCACCTGCCACTGTGCCCAACTGCATTTTAGAAAGAGCACTTTCTTTTCTTTTCTTTTTTTTTTTTGGAGACAGAGTCTCACTTTATTGCCTCTGTAGAGTGCTGTGGCATCTCAGCTCACAGCAACCTCCAACTCCTGGGCTTAGGCGATTCTCTTGCCTCAGCCTTCCAAGTATCTGGGACTATAGGTGCCCACCACAATGCCTGGCTATTTTTTTTTTTTAATTTTGCTTTCAATCTTTAGTTTGAAGTTTTATTTTTGTTTTCTGTTCTCTTTCTTTCTTTTTTATGGAGATAGAGTCTCACTTTGTGGCCCTCAGTAGAGTACTGTGGAATCATAGCTACAGCAACCTCCACTACAACCCTTGGGCCCTTGGGTTTAAGTGATTCTCTAGCTTCAGCCTCCCAAGTAGCTGGGATTACAGGCACCTGCCAGAACGCCTGGCTATTTTTTTGGTAGAGATGGGGTCTCACTCTGGCTCATGCTGATCTCAAACCTCTGAGCTCAGGGCAATCCACCTGTCTTGGCTTCCCAGGGTGCTAGGATTACAAGTGTGAGCCACCACGCCCGGCCCCAGCTATTTTTTTGTTGCAGTTTGACAGGGGCTGGGTTCAAACCCGCCACCTTCGGTATATGGGGCTGGCGCCCTACCCACTAGGCCACAGGCACCACCCACTATTGACAGTTTCATACACCCTCTGCCATTTGATGTGTTCATAGTCATGTATGTATCTTGGTTGTTTTCTTTTTAAGGAATTTTCACTTACTAAATAGAAAATATCTTTTTAAAAATAAAACTGTGTTGTTGGGTGGCACCTGTGGCTCAAAAGAGTGGGGCGCCTGCCCCACATACCAGAGATGGCAGGTTCAAACCTGGCCCCGGCCAAAAACTGCAAAAAATAAAATAAAATAAAATAAAATAAAACTTCTCATACTTGTTGAGAAGTATGCCCAAGGCAGAGAGAAGGTGAGACCTTAGCAGATTTAGCCACAGGGAAAATCTTAATTCTGAGACAGGTGAATTATTAGCCCAAAGGCTATGGGAAGCCGAGAGACCCCTTTAGGTTAGGCCCCAGCTCAAGCAAAGCACAAACCAATAGTGAGATCATCTCTTAGGTGGCCCAAAGCTGTTGGAAATGTCATCAGCATTGGAAATGCTTAACTTCTTTCAAAATTTTTTCTTTTTTAAAAAAAATAGGGCGTCACCCTAAGGATATCCACAGAAATCAATGGTGACATTTGAAGAAAGAAGAATTATACTCACTCAGTGAACGCTGCAGACAATTTCTAGAAGTGGTACAGAGGACAGGCAGGGTTTTGAGGCTGCCCTGATTAGACTGCATCTGCGGCACATCCAGGACTTGAATTTCATTAAGCATTCCCAATAGTTGTACTATTTTCAAAGGTATGTTTTCCTAGAGAATGTAGAGCACCTATGACATTGTAGCCACGTGTTCATAATTTTCTAAGTGGACACTTTTTATATTAACAAATTCATATATAGAAAAGATAAGGTGTTACAGAAAATGGAGAGCAATTATTTTTGTACAGATTCTGTTGTTTTTTTGTGTGTGAGTGATTTATGGAAATACACTAAATGAGGATTTCTAGTACATTTATTATAAAGTAAAATCAAGGGATATGCATTTTTAAAATTTCATTTTTAGAGAATTAACTGTATAATTTCTTATTTTGAAAGCATTTATAAATTGAATTTATAATGATCATATATGCACATCATAAAGATTTAGTTTATAGATTAACACTAAGATACTCAGATTTTTTTAGCTGAACTAAGCAAAATGCTTCTCTTGAGGGGCCTTTGTACAACTATGCACTGTAACTCCAAGTGAATACAGAAGACCTCAGTGTTTAAATCCTCCGTCCTCATTTCTCCATGTTCCCAGGGTGCAGCTTTCACCCTTGCTGCTGCACTCAATCTTAGCCAAAAGGCTGGGAAGTGCTACTCTGGCTGCCAGTTGGCAGCCCAGAATGGGTGTGATTCCAGGTGGGATGGATTCGGCAACGCCGATGAGAAATTCTCAAACCGTCCTTTATTGTCACTGGCATAACTTGAGATATAGTCTGACTCAGAAGCTGAAATTCCTGTCTCAAATTCCTTTTATGCCAATAAACATGTCAAAGAGAGTAGAGGTCCACGAGTGAGATAAGGATCAGGAGTGACCCAAGTTTCTGGGTGCAGGGTGCTGTTGTAATGCCCGTGGCAGAATGTCCTCAACACTGTAGGAAATTTGAGTCAGGCCCTTTGTGCTAAGCATGACCTACAGATTCTACCTTTTTTACTCAAATCATGAAAGACAAGTGAAAAGCAAGTCATTCTAGAGGAAGAAGTTGCCCTTGATTTCTTAGGGTTTAGTTTTGAAAGTTGACAAGAAGGAAATCTCTCTGCAAAGACCCCAGGGCATAGACCTTTGTCTGGCCAAGTGGGAGCAGCCCTTGAGGGCACATGCCAACAACCCATCTGGGCAGCTTTGGTGGAGGACATGGGGGCAGGTAGACTATGGTAACGCCTCCTTACTCGTTTGCTGAGTGGGCACAGGGTGAGGTTCAGCAGTAGTCAGTCTCCCCCCATAAAACCTCCCCCACCTGTTTAGCGGTGGGAAGCTGCCACCCATTTCTGGATCTGCGGTAACTTGTATTGCCCTGATTCTCCATTGCAACACTGGAACTGAAAGACAGTGACCAACGCTCTGTCAAGCATTATATTCCAAAGAGGAGGAGGAACATCACATACCTTTTCCATGGACCCTGTGGTAGAGTGAGTCCTGTGGCTGTGTCCTGCTGTGGACAGACTTGTTATCAGCTCTTCTCAGGATGCATTATCATTCTTCACCTCCGCTTCTCTGCACAGTTAGATCAGGAGCTCCTTGAGGGCAGAGTATGAGCCTAAATGTTTGTAACTCCAGCATTTAACACAGTGCCTCCTGGTACACTGTAGGTGCTTAAAAAATCTTATTGAATGCGTGCATGAATGAAGGGATGCTGGGATGTTTGTAGCGCTGCATAATGGGCTTTACTCTGTTTTACTAGTTAGTTTAATGATAAATAGTCTGTATCACCCAGTAATGTTGACTGTTCTGCTTTCTGTGCTGTAAACATTTCAGTTGTTTGGGCTCCGCCATTCTATGACAACTCTCTTCAACCTGGACAGTTACCACAGAAATTGTTACATGGTCTAGACCAAATGATTCACCTGTCTTGGCAAACTGAGAAGGCCAAAAATCACTCCAGACAATCAAATTCTGCTGATTCCATGCAACCTCTAAAGCTGGTCTTATCCGTGTTTTGTTTTGTTGTATAATTTCTAATTTCCACGAACTTGCATTTCCTTGGACCTCACAGCTGAAAGAGTAAAATAAAAAAAAAAATATTTCTTTATTTTAGTAATGTGTGTTTCTGTTAAATTATAAAATGTCGCCTGGGTACTGCTATGCAGTGTATTTATCTGGGAGATGATTTCAGATCCATTTGGGCTTTATAAAGTTACGGTTTAAAACTTAGGTTTTCTTAATTCCCGTAGCTCTGCATGAGGGCACAACTGGTTCATCTTTGTACAGATTCTGAAGCATTAGCAGTAGAAGTTTGTCTCATTCAGGACTCCTAGAGTTGAAGGGATAAGAAATCCAACAAGAAGGAACAAAGGGAATCTGGACTTAATTGCCTCAAGTAACTGAGAAGTCAAGGAGTGGGGCTGGCTTTGAGGATGGCTCCATCCACCAGTGCCACCAGCACTCCATGTCCTCTCCTCTCTCTCTGCTCTGTTTTACCCCTCTGGCTTCTCAGGCAGGCCTTCCCCTGGAGGAAATGAGAGAGCATCTAACACCTCCCAGGCCTACACCCTGTCTAGTGGAAAAGGACCTCTGAGTGTTTACAACCAGCAGCCTGAGAACTGAAACTCCTTGTCTCTGATTGGCTGGCTGGGGTCACATCCCCATTGTGAAGTGTGATTCTCTGATTGGTCAGGCCTGAATCACGTGTCCACCCCTGGGCAAGGAGGGCTGACCCCTACCCAGACTAAACGGATGGGAAATGGATCTTAAACAGACAGAACGCAGCAGATTCCACGATGGAATTAAAGTCCCTTCTCCCTTAATCACCCTGACCAAAGCTGACCTGTTTGAGAGTAAACCAAAGGTTATTCGCTGACAACTATTTTAGATTTGAAAAAATAAAAAAGTAAATGTAAGCCATTTGTGTGATACAAATACCTTCTGTTAGGCTTATGTTTTTCAAGGTTCTTCTGCTCTCATTTCGCCTCTGTGAGGTTGGCCATGTAGTTAATTATCACATTTTTCAGATTAGAAAACAAACACAGATTCAGCAACCTGCAGGCAGTTCTACAGCCGATGACAAGAGATCCCGGTCTGGAACTCTGGTTTCCTGATTCCTCATCAAGTGGGCTTTTTTTTTTTCTTTTGGTCTTTTTTTTAAACACTAACACAGAGGATTCCACAGAAATTGCATTTTGTAAACCAAATTAAGTGCATCCGTGTTGTGCTGTGTTTGGGTTTCCTAACATCCTTTACATGTGGCCTCGTCCCATGTTCCCATTTTTTACCCAGTTGGAGACATACTGGTCTGGTGTTTGGGCCTGGAATGAGGAAAGGAGAGTGGGAGGAAGATAAGTGGTATCCCATTCTCTCCCCCTGCGTGATTCTGGCAAGTCCCTGAGCCCAGCCGTCTCCCCACACACATACTCTTGGTCTGGCTTTGAATGCCCCGCATTCTCCAGTCCACAATGTCATGTGTCTACAGCGTGTCTGTTGCACAAGAGAACAACCACAGCCTCAAGCCCTGGAGGAGAAGCTTCTGGCACTCCTTGGTTACTTCCAGCAGATTCATCCTCTAAAATGAAGGCCAGCAGGATCCCAAAATCCTACTGGGGTAGCAGCAACCTCCAGAGTAGACGCTTGGAAAATACTGATGGAGATACCAGCAATCTGCTGAGTGGTTTAGGATGAGACACCATGGGGATTTATTCAGCCTCTCAGCAGCAAGCAGTGCTCTGGGCCTTACCATCCCCAAGGCCAGTTCTACCCCTGACTTCCTCAGTGCCTGAGTTGATGGGGTCTCCCTTTAATGTCCATAAACTTTGAGTTGGAATTTCTGATACTTAACACCTGCAAGAGGTCTGGCAGATTAAAAACACCTGGGAATTCTCCCAGTATGAAAATATAGTAAGTACTGGTATCTGGAGTCAGCGTGCAGGGTAGAAAGATCAGTTTTAGATAAATGGGATTCACCTGCCCCCACTCACAGCCCTTACTTTGTAAACCAGGGGTCCTCAAACTTTTTAAACAGGGGGCCAGTTCACTGTCCCTCAGACCATTGGAGGGCCGGACTGCAGCCCCGGGACGAGTTGACTGCTAAGCAGGATGGGCAGCGGCAGCAAAAACACCCGGCGGGCGGATAAATATCCTAGGCCGGCCGTAGTTTGGGGACACCTGCCCTTGAAAGAAAAGTTCAATAATATATTTATGATTCAAGAGTCAAAACAACATGAAAAGGTATACTAAGGAAAGCCTTTTTGCTTCTTACCCACATTTACTCAATTCCTCCCTTCATTGCAGATATCCACTTTTTATCAGATTGTTCTGTAAACACAAAGCCAAATATTTTAACATGTTTTTCTTTTGATTTTTACCCCAAATGTAGCATAATGTACAGCGTTGAGCCTTCTATTGTTGACCAGCAACGTCTCTTGGAGATGTTTCCTTTATTAATACGGTTGGTTTGTTTCATACCTGGACGGTATTCCCTGTATGGCTGCGCCATCACGTATTGAACGAGTTCCCTTCTTCAATGAGCAATGGATGGTGTGCTTTCCAGACCTTGGCAATTAGAAGTAAATGACCTTGTGGATACATCATTTCACACATGTGCAAGGAAATCTGTAGGAGAAAGTTCAATGAGTAGGATGCCGGGAACTGCGTTTGTAATTTGACAAATATTGTCATCTTGCATATTTTTGTTGGAAATCTTTCCAATTACACATCCTTCCTTCTTAACGGAGGATGCTGATGGTAGGTTCACCTTTTCTTGTGACTCAGTCATTAGTGGGAGCATCTGTGACTGTAGATGAGGCACAGATGTGGACTCTGCAGTAGATGGTTTGGGACAGAGGCCTGCTGACTCGCTCCCTGGCCTTCTGCAAGTACACTCCCTCTTAGTCCCCTCTTTTATTTAAACACCTACTGCAGGGAGGGCAAGACTGTGCACTCTGCCGTCTTCTTCCTTAAACCCTGTGACCTGACTCCCCTCTCGTGCATGGTCAAGAGTGTCCCCAGACCACTTGGGCTCTTCATTGTCATCTTGTATGTTTGTCCCTGCAGCTTCCATCCCCCTCCCCCCGCCCCGCTTTCCCTTTTTGGTATTTCTCTGAAGTCCTGTTACTCCTCTTACATTTCTCATCTTTTGAGAGGATCCTGTTTTCATAGACATCAACCAACACCCAACTACAATCTTCTCGTTCCTCTTTCTGGCTAATTGACCAATGATAGGAGTTTATCCACAGGTGTTTTGACCCTCCTGACCTTATAACTTGGTGGTCAGTGCAAAATGGCCCAAGAGAGAGAAAACTCCAGCTTTGAGAAACTTAAAAATTGACTTAAAAACAGTCAACTTTAATTTTGCTTAAATGTACCTTTTTTTGTCATTTGGAAACACAAGATCTTTCTTTTAAAAAAAAAAGAAAATTTTACCTGGAATTATCCCTGGGGAGGTATCATAATTTTTTCGGTACCAGGAGTTTAGGGACTTTTGCTTAAAAACTGAGGCTATTTCTTTACTTGCTTGCATTATCAGTTGAGTTCTTTTCTTTTTTCTTTTTTTAATTGATAGTGTGTTACTGTAATCACTCAGGTTCGGTTAACATTGATCGAGCATCTACCATGTTGCAGATGCTGTCAGAAAGTCATTGATTTCCTCATAGTTGGCTAATGGGGAAATTAAAGTGTAGTGAGGTTGTCATCTGGTACCAACTGGTGGGCATAGGACCGACCCCAGGACCATGACTTCTACAGTCGACCTTTTCCATTCTGACAGAGTTCCACTCTGTTGCCCTGGGTAGAGAACTGGGGCATCATCGTAGCTCACAGCAACCTCAAGCTCTTGGGCTCAAGCAATCTTGCTTCAGCCTCCTGAATAGCTGGGACTACAGGCGCCCGCCACAACACCTGGCTAGTTTTTTTATTTTCAGTAGACATGGGGTCTCACTCTCACTAGAACTCTTGAGCTCAAGCAGTCCACCGCCTCAGTTTCCCAGAGTGCTAGGATTACACACATGAGTCACTGCACCTGGCCAGTGTTAAGTTTTTATAAAAATATTATTTTGCATTTTTTCGGTATTATGGTAAAATACACATAACAAAATCTATCTTAGCCATATGGAAAGCTCAGTAGTATTAAACACATTTATAATGTTGCAACCATCACCACCATCCATCTTCAGAACTCTTTTCAGTTTGTAAAATTCAAACAATGTATCCATGAAGCAACTGCTCAACCCCCTTTCCCCAGTGCCCCGCAACCACCATTGCACTCTCTGTCTCTATGATTTTGACTATTCTAGTGACCTCACATAAGTGGAATCGTGCAACATTCGTCTTTTTCTGAGTGATGTCCTCAGAGTTCATCCATGCTGTAGCTTGTAGGAGAAGGTCCTTCCTTTTTAGAGCTGTGTTGTACTCCACTGTACTTAGACACCTCATTTTGCTTGTCCATTCATCATCCGTCAATGGATAGACACTTCAGTTGCATCATTCACATTTTAGCCATCGTGAATATTGCTGCTATGAACATGGGCATACAAAGATTTCTTTGAGACCCTGTTTTCAATTCTTCTGCATGTACACCCAGAAGTGGGATTGCTGGATCATATGGTAATTCTATTTTTGCTTTTTTGAGGAGCTGCCATACTGTTTTCTACAGCAGCTGTACCATTTCATATTCCCACCCACGGTGCATAGCAGTTGTAATTGCTCCACGTTCTAGTCGGCATTTGCAATGCTCTTTTTGGCAGTAGCCTTGCTCATGGGTGAGAGGTGGTATCTCACACTGGTTTTGATGTGTGCTAAGCCTAATGTTTAACACTGCTGAGCACCACTTCATGTGTTTATGGGCCATTTGTACATCTTTGGACAGATGTCTATTCAAATCCTTTGCCCATTTTTAAGTCAAGTTTTCTGTCCTGGCACTCAGTCTTGTCACACACAGATAAGGATTTGCTGTCAGATCACCAGCACACAGTATGGTCTTTTCTGGGCCTGAAGCAACAGCAGGAAGTGATAAAGGACTCAGGGTCTTAGGTTGCAGTTCTCTCTCTCTCCTTTG